TTCGGTTGGATACTGACTGGTCGTGCTGATGCAGTCAACCCAACCAACAATAATAGAGTATCGTTCTTCAATGAAGTGGCCCTAGACAAACAGCTAAGCTCTTTTTGGGAACTTGAGGATCTCCCACGAGATAAAACTCCAACAGCTGAGGAAGCAAAGTGCGAGGAGCTTTACAAACGTACAACAGAGCGGAATCCAGATGGGAGGTACATCGTGTCGCTTGCTTTCAAGGCGGAGTTCCCGGCTGATATAAACTCAGGGCCATCACTCAAAATCGCGTTTTCTCAATTTTACAAGAACGAAACTCGACTAAGAAAAAGTCCAGACTTACAGAGGGAATACAACGGAGTCATCATGGAATACGAGACAATGGGTCATATGTCTAAAGTTAATGCAATTCAGTCGGCAGATGCAGTCGACAGTTACTATTTACCACATCACGCTGTCGTAAAAGAAGAGAGTACTACGACAAAGGTTCGGGTGGTTTTCAATGCTTCCTCGTCTTCAGCCAATGGTACGATATTCTTCTTCCAGGGCCAGTGCTTCAGTCTGATTTACCAGTGTTGATTCTCCGCTGGAGACTTTTTAGATACGTCTTCAATAGCGATATTGAGAAGATGTATAGGAAAATTCTTGTAGACGCCAACCAAACGAAGTACCAACGAATAGTTTTCCGTACGTGTCCAAACGAACCAATTAGTATTTACGAACTAAAGACGGTTACTTTCGGTATAAATTCTGCTCCTTATCTTGCGATAAGGACATTGCTCCAGCTAGCTGATGACTCAGAAAGCCTCTATCCTATAGCCTCGAACATTTTACGGAAAAATATGATGTCGACGACGTTCTTGCCGGAGGACATACTGTTGACTCTGCGATAAAAGCCGGGGATGAGATTTCTGCAGTTTTAAAATCAGCTGGTTTCCCACTTAGAAAATGGACGTCGAATTGCAATAAAATATTGCAAGGCATACCAAAAGCACATCTTCTGAGTGAAAATTTCTTAGAGTTTGAGGACACAAGCAGTGTAAAAGCACTAGGTATAAGGTGGAACGCGCATTCCGACCAATTTTATTTTATAGCCAAGCCAATAGAAGATAACGTCAATCCAATGAAGAGAGCGATATTATCAGCCATCGCTAAACTCTTTGACCCGTTAGGTTGGCTAGCTCCAATGATAGTTGTTGCGAAAATACTTATGCAGAGCATATGGTTAGAGGGTACAGACTGGGACGAGACGTTGTCCCCAAAAACACTAGATAGATGGCAGAATTTCACGAAAAATTATCAGGAAATCAATAATATAAGGATACCACGGTGGGTATCTTTCTCACCAAAGGAAAAGGTAGAGATTCACGGATTCTGCGACGCATCCGAAAAAGCGTACGCTGCCGAAGTCTACCTAC